AAGTTAATTCATCAATTTTTTTATCCTTTCTATTTTTCTTCCTTACTAAATATGATATTTTATTAATCTCTTTAACTTTTAATTTTTCTATTATATTAAACGGAACATTAATGAAGCATGGCGCGTGGTTGCAAGTGGAAATGGCGGGCAAGTGGGATGAAAGGGGGTTGAAGTGATTGACGAGACGAGTTCAAATGATTGTCGGGAGAGTGCGTGTCGGGTAAAGGAGAGACATGCTGACACGCACGAGCTGGAGCAGTGTGGAGGGCCCCACAAACGTTAACGGCCTTTAAAAATCAAAGCAATTTGTTGTTATTTGCATAGATATCCGAGTCCACGTGTCTACCAGCAAGACATGTTGGTCCACGTGAGTACTTACTTCCCCCACGCTTCCCTCATTTTCGTCCCCACGTGACTCCCCTCCATTCTGTCTCCTTTCCCTCTCTTTCTCTCTCTCTGGGCCCCATTTGCACTCTTCTGCCCTCATCTCTTCCATACAGTATTTGCTTGGCTAAGCTTTGGCTCAGCTCAACCTTCGCCATAATAATTGGCCAATCTTTTTTGTCACCTCAATAAATAGTTTCTGTTATTTTTTTTTCTATGTATGTTATTTTTTTTTCTATGGTACCATAAAAAAAAAAATACTCCCTAACTCAAACGAAAATCGTAAGTTAAAATTCAAATATATATTATTCATTCGATAAGATATGAAATGAGTGAGTCATGCTAAAAAAATTAATAGGACCCACTCATCTAAGAGATAATATGCATTTTAGATTGTAATTTTATGAGTTTCACTTGAATTTTGCAGTATTGCTTAAAAAAAAATTGTTACCATACTATTATTTTTTTTATATAATTTATTATCTATCTTAAAATATTAAGATCCATAGCCATATATCACAAAAAATGATAACAAAAATTAACAAAAAATAATAAACACTAAAAAAAATTATAAATCACCCACAAAAATTATAAAAATAACCATTAAAATTATAAAATTTTGAGTTATACCAACTTTTTTTTGGGTACCATAATCTTCTCCTAAATAGGTACTTAAAAAAAGTCATTTATTTTAATATTTCACTCAAACCCTTATATTTTTTTATTTTTATGACTTTTGTTTCAATAAAAAAGTTAATCCAAATTAGTGAACAAAAATAATCATGTGCATTTTCATACGTTGTTTCTTTATTGTTAGCTTTTCTAGCCAAAAAAAAAAAAAACATTAGGTTAATATAAAACAGTGCGTGGATGGGACGCGCCTAGACTTGAATGGGTGTAAAATAGTGACACGCTTAACAGAAAAGGCGTAGAAAGTGACTTTAAATTGTCCAAACTCGCCCTCTCGGTAATCGATAAGGGACTTGACGGTGGGACGCTAATAAGTTTTGAATGTGTCCTCAAGTTTATCTGTCCGTTCCAATCATGACCATTCCATTCCCTCTTGATTTTGATGCTTCTCCGGGTGTGGCCTCTTTTTGCCTAACTTGCCAAACTGTGTGCAGGGGAGGTGGATCCCACTTTACTTATTTGATCGATCCTAGCCGTTTGGTCAGGATCTACAAATTCATAACCATGATTATTGTGGTGTTCCACCACGGGGTTATTCCGATTTTATTTAAAGGGTTAATTATATTAGAAGCCCTCAAAATATGCAATTTCTCTTATTTTGGTCCTAAATATTTTAACTATATCATTTTAGTTTTTCAAGTAATTAATAAATATTTCTATGTTATCCTCTAAGTAGACAACATCCAGTTAACAATTTTAAATTTAATAATTAATGTGGTGTTCCACCAAGGAAAATGTTATTCCGATTTAAATTAAAGGGTTAATTGTATTTGACATTCCAAAAGTGTGAAATTTGTTTTATTTTAATCTTTGAAGTATTTAATATTTGTTAATGAGATCTCTTAAGTAGACGATATCTAGATTTTTAACGATTTTTAATTACAAACTTATCACGTAATACATAAATATAAGTAAAAAAATAATTTAGATAATTTTTGACCAAATATTGATTAAAGAACTACTCAAATTACATAATTTTGATCATGAGTTATTTAAATTTTTGTCAAGACCTATCCATATTACACATTTTTTGTCAAAATTTATTCAAATTTTGGTCAAGAGCTCCTCAAATTCTGGCTCACATTGCCACGTTGAAATAGGAAGAAAATTATGGTATCGACATTCTTTTTTTTAGTTTTGTACATTTAATTTTTATAATTTTTGTGGTTGGTTTTACAATAATAAAATTTATAATTTTTGTGAGTATTTTGACTATTTTTGTAGTAGCTTTGTGATCGATTCTAAAATTATAAATTGTTAGGATCAATAAAAAGTTAGGACAAAAGTGATAAAAATACTCACAAAAAAAATTATAATAGAGATGAGGTATGAAATTATATTTATTCGGTACTGTAGATTTTTCCATGTCTTCATGAAACAGTTGGGACAACTTTTGGTTCAAACATAAAATGAAGTGGTAGAGCATTTTGGAGGAAGTGCTAGAGTTTTGGCTTTGTGTTTTTTTTTTTCTTGAACAAGTTGGCTTTGTGTGTTGAAGTAATTGAAAGGAACCAATGACTGATGAAGTTGCTGGTTGCTGGTAGCTGGTGAACGTATTGTTTACTTTGTCAATTCTTCACTCAGTTATATCGTTTTGCTGGTGAAGTATTGGATATCTTTTTTGGTTGTCTTTATTTATGGGGATTTTTGGGGCAGTCTTGTTTTATGTGAACCAATTTTTTTTTTTTATTCAATGTTTAGTGTAAGGGATGAAACCCTCCACTCAGGATTTCGGCTTGACCTCCGCGCGTTCGGGAGTAGCCTTTACCCCTCTTCCTGAGCCGGAGCCCTGGCCTAGCCTAATGTGGGGAGGGCGCACCGTATCCCACATCGGAAGAGAGTCGTCTTCCCCCCTCGCATATAAGCCCTTGCACTCAAAGGAGGAGGTACCCACTAGCTACCTGATCAGGTGCCTAGTGGGTACCTCCTCCTTTGAGTGCAAGGGCTTATATGCGAGGGGGGAAGACGACTCTCTTCCGATGTGGGATACGGTGCGCCCTCCCCACATTAGGCTAGGCCAGGGCTCCGGCTCAGGAAGAGGGGTAAAGGCTACTCCCGAACGCGCGGAGGTCAAGCCGAAATCCTGAGTGGAGGGTTTCATCCCTTACATTTAGGATATTCAAACTAACTTACGTTAATCTCGATTGATTATTTTTTCGATCAGATTAAATGCAAGTCTTTCACATCGAGACTAAAATATTCATCTGAGATAAATCTTTTATGATTTGATTTAAGATGGTTTTAAAATTCAAACTAAAAGTTGCCAAGATTTTTTTTTTTTTTTATAATATCCATTTTGATAATCAAGAATCACATATTATACATTTAGTGTATAGTGATATATTTCATTTTTACAATAAAAAAATAGAATGAGTATTATTAGACGGTAGCTTAACTTTTGACTTATTGTTGGTGCTAATAAGATTTAATTAGGATAATAATCCTAAATAAAAATTCAACTTGTAATTTTCTTATTAATAAAAAAAGTTTGGGATTACATAACTATTATGTAAATTTATCATTTCCAGGCTGGTAAATTTCAGCAGAAATCTGAGACGGAGTTGTACACACAAGTCCACCTTTTACCATGGTTAAGAACTGCACACGTACACCAACCAAAGAATCTTTGCTCCAAAAATATCTCTTCATTTGTAAAAGTTTTATCTTCTTATTCAAGTTTTTTAGACTATAAAAACGTGATTAGTTGGAAAGATTAAATTTTGTTTTTTTGAATAAATCGTATTTGAGTCTCTATTGTAGGTTTAAATTTTCACTGAAACTCAAATCCTAATTTAACTGATGGCTGAGTTAAAAGATTAGTTCATACACTTAAAGTTTGCTCTCAAATTTACTTAAAGTCATGAGTTTAAGTGACATAAATGCACCTTTATTCACCACAACATATCAAAGATTTATATAATGAGAGCATCTCCAACAATACTATCTAAAATATATATTTAAATATTACATTATCTATTTTAGCTAATTATTTTTTTAAATTCATTTCAATAACGCTATTTATTTTAACTAATTACTTCAATTAATTTTAATTAACTTTCAATAATAAAATTCAAAAATAACAATTCAATTATACATTATACAAATTTAATCAATTATAAGTTACAAGAGAGAACCCACATTCCGAAAATTATTACTCACAAATCAAATTCTTTTAAATTAAATTACAAAATTTAAAATAAAATTACTTCAAAACTTTCGAGTTTGATCAAAAATTTTTGAAGGATTCGAGTTTGATCAAACTAAATGCTATCATCTCACCATCAATCGTCTCATCCAAGCACTAGACCAACAATTTTTGAAGTGGCTAATTAGATGTAGTTAGTGAAAATTGAATTATGAAAAATATATAAGAGAATAGTTCATCTGTTAGAATCATATTTTAGAAAGAAAATTATGGTAGAATCATATTTTAGAAATAAACTATCTAAAATAACTAAAAAAAGAAGTTTTAGCGAGTTTTTAGAGTTACTTTGCCCAATAAAAAAGGAGAGGGAGAGGAAGAGAGAAAGAGATTTTACCATAATTAAGAAATGTGCAGAGACACAGAGATCAGATAGAGAGAGGCCTTTTACCATGGTTAAGAACAGTGTAGAGAGAGAGAAAATAAAAGAAACCATTGAGTTGGGTAAATAATACGAGGAATGCTATACTAATTAAATTTTGAGGTTAAATTTAAAATCTAAATGACATGATATTTGATTATTTAAAATTTTTATTGAGGACTAAATAATATCACATTAATTAAAAAAACTCAAATTAACTATTTGAACTTTAAATTTAATTTTAAAATTTAATCAATTTAATATTATTAAAATAATATACGGGAAAGACAAAAGCCATGATTGATATAATTGGCCCTCCTGACACACCATGTCATGATTGAACTTGCACCACAACCCCCCAAGGCCCCCAACCCCCATTCTTTCTTCTTTCTATATAATCCCCGTTACTCCCTCACCATCATCCCCAATCTGCTACCCTGCAGACCCTCTCTCTCTCTCTGGAAAAGCCACTACTCCAACGTACCACCAGCTTTAGCACTGTCTGCTTTCTCGACAACTTGGGTTGAAGAGAAAAAGAAAAAGGACGTCAAAAAAGAAGGAAAGCAAAGAGTTAGGAAAAGATGGTGGTTGAGAAAGAGGACCTGGGTTTGAGTTTGAGCTTAAGCTTTCCTGAGAAACGGAGTAGTAGTACTTCACTACGGTTGAATCTGATGCCTTCGCTAGTTTCATCTCCTACATCTCCTTCGCCTTTCAATCTTCTTCACAAAACCTCTTGGAACGAAACCTTCCCCTCCTCAGGTTTGTCCTTCTCATTCATGTATGTTTACGAGCACTTCTCTTTCGGTGATATGTGAAGTTTCAGATCTAGATTTAGCTTCTTACTGATTTTCCTCTCTTAAAAAGTACACTTTTCTCAGAAAGTTCTAGTGATTTTTCCTTAGAAATTATTTTCCCTCATCTTTTCTCTTTGTTCAGATTCAAAAACTCACATATTAATTTTCATCTATAAAAAAGGTTCGTAGAGCTTTAGCCTTCAGTAATGGCGATTTTGAGCTCTCTTTTCTTTCGTCCATCGACAGATCTATAATTTTATCGAACCAGTCTCTCTGTTCTATTTCTTCTAAATGAAATTGATCTCTGATTTTTACTAGACCTTAATCATATTTTCTCGTCTTTTCCTCTTAAGTTGTTTACCTACATGCAGATCGAAACTCGGAGACTTGCAGAGTGGAGACCAGATCGTTTCTCAAGGGGATCGACGTGAACCGGTCGCCTTCCACAGCCGACGACGCCGAGGAAGAAGCCGGCGTGTCGTCGCCGAACAGCACGATATCGAGCTCTAGCGGGAAGAGGAGCGAGAGAGAGTGCAACGGCGGAGGCGACGATCAAGAGATAGAGAGAGCTTCCTCTCGAGGCATCAGCGACGAGGAAGACGGTGATGGTTCGAGGAAGAAGCTCCGGTTGTCGAAAGACCAGTCGGCGGTTCTCGAAGAGAGTTTCAAAGAACACAACACTCTCAACCCTGTAAGGATAATATGGACCTTAGTAGGAATTATGTTATGGAGGTGAGGGTTGTTTTGATCATTTCACTGACAAGTTGTGGGGGTGTGTTTTTGTTTTCAGAAGCAGAAGGTGGCTTTGGCCAAGAGATTGGGACTCAGGCCTCGTCAGGTGGAAGTGTGGTTTCAGAACAGGAGGGCAAGGTGAGATATATTTTGCTTGTTTAGGGGCATTTGTTGTACTTCAAACTAAAAAATGCCAAAAAAACCTTGTGTATTAAACTACGTTAAAAAAAATTATTTTTCAGTATTATAATCATGGTTTACCCGATAGCACAAAAAAATAAATCACTTAAAAAAATAACTCAAATGATAATAGAAACGAATTGTAAATTTAGATGTCTTTAAATTTGATTTTTTTAATAATTCCTTGAAATCAAGAGGGATCGAATCGGAGAGGGTACCTAACCTAACCTATATATTCCTAACCATTAAACCAAAAAAAAAAAAAAAAAAAGAGCGATGAGGCGAAAGAATTAATATATAAGACAAAATTCAATACTGTAATTTAAATAGTTGTGAATTTTAATGTTAGATAAAACGTATTTCAATCCTGAGTATGTCTTAATATTAAGTTTTTAAATTAGGTTCAAATAGCATTTATAATGCAAACTACTTTAAACTTGTAGTTTATGAAATAAATGGAACTTTGAAGGTGATTTTAAGAACTCACCGTTGAAGCTTTGTTTCCATATTTTCCCTGATAAGCAAATACATTAATAATACCAACCAACCCATGTTTCTAGTCTTGGCCCATGTCTGGTGTGAAGTTACAGTTATGCCCATGCACTTCTGGGTTCGCAAAACTAATGGGTGGTTCAAATGTTTTTTTCATGTACAGGACAAAGTTGAAGCAAACTGAGGTTGACTGTGAGTTCTTGAAGAGGTGCTGTGAGAATCTGACGGAGGAGAACCGGAGGTTACAGAAGGAAGTGCAGGAGCTGAGGGCACTCAAACTGTCCCCACAGTTCTACATGCAGATGACCCCTCCCACCACCCTCACCATGTGCCCCTCATGTGAGCGTGTCGCCGTCCCCCCATCCGCATCACCATCGGCTCCGATGGCAAAACAGGTCGAGCCTAGGCCCTGTCAAGTGGGTCCCATCCATCCTCGGCCCATTCCCTTTAATCCTTGGTCCAACACTCCCGTCCCTCACCGGACATTCGATGCTCTCCATCCTCGATCGTAATAAGTTATCGGTAGAAGGGTGGAATGGTCATTTTGAATTATCATCCTTATCTTAGAAATCCTTGTGGAATATGTTTGTACGGAGGAATTGAAAATTGTAGTAGCGTACCATATTGTTATGTGTACATTTGACACTATGAGGTGTAAGATATGGTGGTTGGAATTATGATATATGGTGGGATCTATTTGTTTTGTTCTATTTTGTCCCCCAATGTCTACGACTGAATATTCAAAGATTAGTCCTTAGTACTAATTCTTCTTCCCCTTTTTTGGAGGGGGGTGGGGGGGGGGGGGGG